TCACCTTTTTAAAAAATGGTATCACATTTGCCTTTTCCACTTATCTGGCACCATGCCGTTTTGTATGATATGTTGAAAGATTCCCAAAGGTGGCTAAGCTCCCTTTCTTTCCCTTAGAACCCTTGCTACAGTTATCGGGGCCCTGGGGATTTGTTGGGTTTTTAATTTATCTTTTTCCCAAGGACATGTCATTTGCCCCTAATAGTGCCGTTTAGTATGTCCTGTTCTAAAATTTTCTTACTGGAATGCTGGTTTCCCCTGTGAAAAAAACTGGAGGAAGTATGTGTTAAAAATTCTACACATTTCCTTTCACTGTCATGAGCTGACCCGGGGAACTTTTGAGTGGGCCATCTTGCCCCTGATCTTTTCTGAAAACCCCTAAAAGAACTTTTGGGTTAGTCTTCGTTCTCTTGCAACCCTTTAACCTATAATCTCTTTTTGTTTTTCTAATTCCCTTTTTTATTTTCTTTTTAAATAAATATATCGTTTTCTTAATTGTCCCTCCCCTCTTTTGATTTGCCTATATTGCCTCTTTTTGACCAATCGATTTTTTAAACTATTTTTAAAATTTTTGGATCATTTTTTTATCTGTTTCCCTATTTGGAACAAATTTGCCTGAGCGCTGAATTTTCCCCTGGAAAGCATCTTTCGGCAACCTCACCCCACCTCCCCTTAGTCAGGTCATTCCAGTTCAGCCCACCAAAGAAATTTTTCGTCCTATGAAATCACCCAAACGAAAGTCAGGGACGGAGACTGTTTGCCTTATTGGGGGGAATTCCATGATTTTTAAAAACTGGTGATTTGTGATCACTTTCCCCCAAGTCATCATTAACCTCAAGATTATTAATTAGTGTTTCCCTATGGCAAGAACCAAGTAAAGGGGTTTTTTTTCCCCCTTTTGGGTCGTCAAAAACTGTTTTAAAAAAAAATCTGGTGTATCAAAAAAGTCACCTGACTCTAAATTTCCGTCAAATTGCCCCAGTCAATCGTCTATAGTTGAAATTCCCATTAGCAAATTTTGTATGTAGATCCCTTACGAATTTGCCCCATAGAAGTTTATGCACCCCCTATCAGTTTTGGGGCCCTTAAATCCCCCCAAAAATTTCATTTTTTCTCGGCCTCGAGAAGCTGTAACAAAACAGTTTCAGTGGCTGACGTTCTAATTTAATATTTGTTAAACAACAATTTAAAATTTTCTGAATAATCGCTACTCCACCACCTTTCCTTTGACCCTGTCAGTGTGGAAAATTTAACCCTTGTATGTGACATTCAGGGGCATCTCTCTATCTTTCAGTTGAGCCAGGTTTTGTTATAGCAATAATACTATGTTTCTGCACTTAAATTTAAATCTTAGCTCTCTATCTTATTTCTTACATCCTGCTATTAGTATAGTAAACCTTTAAGGGGAGTAGTCCCTTTCGCCCCCTTTCTGTCCCCTTGTTTGCTGACCTGATTATTGTCTTTTTTTATAAAATTCATGCTGAAACCTTTTTTTACATTTACTGTTTCCAACCCAAGTGTTGCAACCCGTTGTTTCCCACACACCCATACCTCTATTTCCACAGTTTAAAATCAAGGCTTTACAATGGCCCTTTTCAAACGAGTCGCAAGTGTACCCCCCGCCCAGAGAGATGTACCCCCCCTTGCATACATATCATGTTTGCCCTAAAAATTTTTCCCGTTGTCAATGAAGGGATTGCAAGTTCCTTGCAGTTTGTTAGCCAGCAATTTACCCAAATTTCCCCAGAAACCATTCATTTTCCTACTCCCCCCTTTTGGCAAGATGCTACTTGATTGGGACCCCCCCTTAGACTTAATGAATTATAGTGACCTGTATTATTGGTTTCTCTCCCACCCTTCCCAATTCTTTTCCCCCAGCACTGAGACAGATAAGGGCTTGTCCCATTTCCCGACATGAATTATCCAGCTGTTGACTGTCCCCAAAAACCGCTCCAGGGAAGCCACTCATCTTCATCTTCTTTTTTCCCATTACAAAAAACAGGTCAAAGTATCTTACCTGGAGTCACCAACACAAAATGCGTTTCCTCCCTTGCAGGGGCAGTAGTACCCCTTTCCCTTTATGGCCACTGAAGACATTCATCCTGAAGAAAAGAAAAAGGTTTTTTTACCTTCAGATCTTCACTCTTAACTTTCCTTACTCTGATGGCCTTCCTTACTGTGAACTATGCCACTTGTAGCAGGGGCTGGGCTGCACCTCACTGTGGTAGCGTTGCGCCTCCCCAACTACAGCTCCTCACAGCGAGAGACAGACTGCACCTCGCTGCTGAACCCTCATTCCCCACAACCCCCAGCCACCTCCACTTCTCCCAGACCCTTTGAGGTGGCCTTCACCCTCCTAATCTCCTCCTGGGAAGAAAGCCCTCCTCCTTAACTCCCCAAACCCTAAATTTTTTTTAAAACACTGCAAAAAGCAAGCCATGCTTTGTAACCGTCCACACAAACCCCCCAAAAAGCAGCTCGGGTCTGTGCCTCACGTGACGACTGCCCACCAGTATACCCTACCATCAGCTTTTTGTTCATATTCGCGCAAAACCTGCAAAAAGAATTACTGTCTTGAGTAAGTGGTTTTACAATCGTTTTTTGTATTTCTTCCCCCTCGGGCATTCTATCCCAGATGTTGCATTTCTGGTTTTTTCCCTTTTCTGCCCCCCCTTTTTTACTTGGTGTTTTAAATTGAAACCTTTCCTCTTGGGGGGAGGGGGGGGGTTTGGG